TCTTTCCTCAGATTTGGTTCCCGTTTGGAAAAACGGCATCTGTCATCATACCTGAAAATTGGGTTTTTGTGAGGCTATGATGTCCGGTGATGCCTCTTTGACTCTTTCATGCCACTCCTCCCACTTATTTGTTATTCCATCAGCGTTTGTGTACCATACCTTCAGTTTCCTTTCCAACACTGTGGTTTGGGAGGCCTGTGAGGGTGGGAGACCTGGTAGCATACTGTGGGATTCTATAGCTCGGTGTTGGGTGGAGGCTGTGGGTTATGGATTGTAGTGTGTGTTGGGATGGTGTGATAGGTTGTATGGTTCTGAGAATAGTTGTGTGTGTGCTTGCCCTTGCTGTTCTGTTCTGCTCTGACTGACCTCTGCTGGTTCCATCCTTGTCTCTTTTCTAGCTCTTTCGTTTTTTTTGTCCTCTCCCTCAGCTGCTGTCATTCTGATTGTGTTCTGTCTCTGTCTAGGAACACCCTCTTGTACTCTTCTGAGTGTGTGTGTGTGTGTGTGTGTGTGTGTGTGTGTGTGTGTGTGTGTGTGTGTGTGTGTGTGTGTGTGTGTGTGGTGTGGTGTGTGTGTGTGTGTGTTGTGTGTGGTGTTGTATGTGTGTGTGTTGTGTGTGTGTGGTGTTGTATGTGTGTGTGTTGTGTGTGTGTGGTGTGGTGTTGTGTGTGTGTGGTGTGTGGTGTTGTGTGTGTGGTGTGTTGTGTGTGTGTGGTGTGTGGTGTTTGTGTGTGGTGTGTGTTGTGTGTGTGTGGTGTTGTTTTGTGTGTGTGTGTGTGGTGTTGTGTGTGTGTGTGTGTGTTGTGTGTGTGTGGTGTGTGGTGTTGTGTGTGTGTGTGTGTTGTGTTGTGTGTGTTGTGTTGTGTGTGTGTGTTGTGTTGTGTGTGTGTTGTGTTGTGTGTGTGTGGTGTTGTATGTGTGTGTGGTGTTGTATGTGTGTGTGTTGTGTGTGTGTGTGTGTTGTGTGTGTGTTGTGTTGTGGTGTGTGTGGTGTTGTATGTGTGTGTGGTGTTGTATGTGTGTGTGTTGTGTGTGTGTGTGTTGTGTGTGTGTTGTGTTGTGTGTGTGTGGTGTTGTGTGTGTGTGTGTTGTGTGTGTGTGTGTTGTGTGTGTGTTGTGTTGTGTGTGTGTGGTGTTGTGTGTGTGTGTGTTGTGTGTGTGTGTGTTGTGTTGTGTGTGGTGTTGTATGTGTGTGTGGTGTTGTATGTGTGTGTGTTGTGTGTGTGTGTGTTGTGTGTGTGTTGTGTTGTGTGTGTGTGTGTGTGTGTTGGTTGTGTGTGTGTGTGGTGTTGTGTGTGTGTTGTGTTGTGTGTGTTTTGGGGGTTGTATGTGTGGTGGTGTTGTTGTGTGTGTGTTGTGTGTGGGGGGTGTTGTGTTTTGGGGTGTTGTATGGGGTGTGTTGTTGTGGTGTGGGTGTTGTGTTTGCCGGGGTGTTGTACTCACCTAATTGTGGTTGCAGGGGTTTGAGATCAGCCCCGGCCCGCCTTTCAGTGTGGTGTGAAGGGCCGAGGGCGTGTTTTTGTGTTGTGTTGATACAGTGGGCGCCCCCTACCCTGTACCTACAGGGGGGGGGAGGGACACAGTCCTGGCCCAGCCTATGTGAAAACCAAAGGGTGGGGACAGAGTAATTGTTTGTTAAGAATAGTTGGCCCCTTTTTTTAAACCCGCCCTTTGGGTTGGTATGTGGGGGGGTGGGCGTGGGTTTGGGGGTTTGGGCGTGGGGGGGTGGGGGGTCGGGGGTGGTGGGGCGTAGGTGGTGGTGGGTGTGGGGGGGTGGTTGGCGTTTTGGGGGGGGGGATCGTGGGTGGTGAGGTGTGTGGTAGGCGTGGGTGGTGGTGGGAAAAAGTGGGTGGTGGGCCCCGGGGGTGGGGGTCGTGGGTGGTTTTTGGGGGTGGGTGAGCGTTTGGGGGGTGTACGTGGGTTTGGGGGTGGGGTGGGCGGTGGGTTTTGGGTGGTGGTCGTGGGTGGTTGGGGGGCCCTAGGTGGTGGTGGGTGTGGGTGGGTGGTTGGCGTGGGTGGGGATCGTGGGTGGGGTGACTGGTGGTAGGCGTGGGTGGTGGTGGACGTGGGGGTGGGGGCGTGGGTGGGGGGTCGTGGGTGGTTTTGGGGCGTGGGGGAGCCCTGGGGTGGGTTTTACGTGGGTGGTGGTTTGGGCGTGGGGGGGGTGGTTGTGGGGGTGGTCGTGGGTGGTGGGGGCCGGGGGGTTTGGTTTAGCGTGGGTGGTGGGGGGTGGGTGACTTTGGGGGGTGGGTGGTTTTTTGGGGGTGGGTGAGCGTGGGTGGTGGTGGGCGTGGGTGGAGGCCTGGTTTTGAGGGGGTTTGGGTGGTGGGCGTGGGTGGTGGGCGGGGTGGTGGTCCCGGGGCGGGTGGGTTTGGGGGGCGTGGGTGGTGGTAGGGCCCTGGGGTGGGAGGGGCGTGGGGGGTGGATGTTTGGGGGGTGGGCGTGGATGGTGATGGCGTGGATGGTGATGGACGTGGTGGTGTTTGGAAAGTTGGGTGGTGGCGGGGTGGAGGTGGTGTGGGTGGCCGGTGTGGCGAGGTGGTCGTGGGTGGTGGTCGTGGTCGTGGGTGGCGGGTGGGGGGTGGGTTTGTGGATTGCGGGTGGGGGAGGGGCGTGGTGGTCGTGGATGGGGTGGGGGGTGAATGGTGGTGGGCGTGGGTGGTTGTGGGGTGTGGGGGGTGGGTGTGGGGGGTGGGTGGGTGTGGTGGTGGTGTGGGGGGTGGGTGTGGGGGGTGTGGGTGTGGGGGTGGGTGTGGGGGGTGGGTGGGTGTGGGTGGACGTGGGGTGGGCGTGGGGGTGGGCATGGGTGGGTGTGGGTGGTGGGCGTGGGTGATGGGCGTGGGTGGGGGTGGGGGACGTGGGTGGTGGGCATGGGTGGGTGTGGGTGGTGGGCGTGGGTGATGGGCGTGGGTGGACGTGGGTGGTGGGCGTGGGTGGTGTTTTAACTATACTTTCATACCATACTGAAGGTTCTAGCTGTCCAGCTTGTCTTGAAGACAACCAGGGGTCTTAAAGACAACCAGGGGTCTTGAAGACAACCAGGGTCTTGAAGACAACCCGGGGTTTTTGAAGACAGCCAAGGTCTTGAAGAAAACCAGGGGTCTTGAAGACAACCAGGGGTCTTGAAGACAACCAGGGGTCTTGAAGACCACCAGGGGTCTTGAAGACCACCAGGGGTCTTGAAGACAACCAGGG